TTAGTTTACCCAATAGTTGCATTCTCTGTAATTCATTGCACTAAGTCTTAAATTTTTTGTCTTATGTTTGCCAATCAAAAACTAAATTCTTGCACTGAAACCCTTTAAACTTAAATAGGTAGTTGGAAATACATGACATATTGAATAAACACTATGGGCAGAAAAAGTCAATTGTTACATAATTTTGAGATCACTTCTTAATTCCACTTGTATATCCTTCTTGCTGACAGCCTTCTTCTAAGTTATTTTAACTCCTTGAAAAAAAATCCAATATTACATGATAAAGTACTTGCAATTATATTTATAATGGATTTATTCTGGTATGACATTAGAAAGTCACATGGTACGTTGGATATGGACAATTTTTCTGTTTAGAGCTTTCTTCATCATTGCAGGACATCTAACATTTCTGTGTCCTGCTCACAAAAGTCCAGTTAACTTCTGTTGTAACTATTAAAAACATTTCTGCAAATTTCAAAAGTACCCTCACGGGGGAGGTACTTCGCCTATTGAAACTCTGGTAGAGTTCAATTTTGGGCACTACAGGCCATCTGCTCTTCTTCCCTAGCAGTCTACACTTGAATTCTAAAAATGTGGCTATCACCAGCTTCCAGCATTTCATGATCTTCCTATTAAGAAAAAAATAGCCTCTCTGTCAATTCCAACCATTACCTGTAAATTTGCCCATGTATAAATGTCAGTTTAAAATTCATTTCTGGAAAAGTATAACTATTTAAAGATTATGCTCATGTTCCCCATGCCTTTCTTCCCCCAAGCTGTATCATTACCAGTAGCTGTGATTCTCAGGGCCTAGCTGCTGTACCCAACTCTGATTTATTAGTCTCTCTTAAAGTGCAAGTTCAGAGGTGCTCTTACCAAAATAGCATTCAGTGGACCTGTTGCATGCTTCACTGTCCCTTTTATATGACATTATGGACTAGAGGTCCAGTGCACTTCACTGGGGGCGGGGGGGTCCCTCAGCCCGGATTGCAAGAGGGCGCAGGCCAGGCCTAAGGACCCCATCAATGCATGATCGGGGCCAGGGAGGGACATAGGATGTTGGCCAGCTGGGGAGAGACCACAGGAGGACTCCAGGGTGTGTCTGGCCTGTCTCGCTCAGTCCCCATCGGTTGAAC